GCGTGTGTGTGAGAGAGAGAGAGAGAGAGTGTGTGTGTGTGTGAGTGAGTGCGTGGGTGTCTGTGCGTTCGTGCGTGTGTGCCTGTGTGTGCGCGCGCGTGTGTGTGTGTGTGTGTGTGTGTGTGTGCGTGCGTGCGTGCTTGCGTGTTTCATTTGATTAATCTTTAAGTTTGTGTGTGTGTGTGCGCTTGTTTTGTGTGCGTGTGCGTGTGCGTGTGCGTGTGCGTGTGCGTGTGCGTGTCGTGTGCGTGTGCGTGTGCGTGTGCGTGTGTGTGTGTGTGTGTGTGTGTGTGTGTGTGTGTGTGTGTGTGTGTGTGTGTGTGTGTGTGTGTGTGGGCTCCGCTTCGTTTTCTCTTCACCGCCAGCTGCAGCTTTGGCTGCTCCCCCCAGCTTCAGCTAAGAGCAGTTCAGTACAGCCTGTGCCGGCGGAGCGGTCCTGGACGGTCTGGAGCGGGCGGAACGGCTTTGGACGAAAGCAACGGAGAAAGTCTTGCAGAGAGCCTCTGTGTGCAGAAAAGTAGGGGGCAGCCTGCTCCTGACCATCCTCGCATATCGCATTTACGTTTTTCCAATTTTGTCATTCTTGCTGCAATTGGACCACATGCCGACGAATTGGCAGACGATCGAGCAGAAGGCGGTCACCATCCTATTTCCCGGCCCGCGTGCTTGGACCACGCCAGCCGCCATGCGGAATTTGACGGCTTTCGGGTCCCCCGTGGAAATTCCAACGGCCGGCGACGTCGCTTCTGCTGCCAACTGCCGGGTGCATCACTGGGAAGACCGTGGAAACGGCAGGCTGCGAGTCACCCGGCCCCTGGCCAGTTTTCGTACCGTCTACGATATCACTGACTGGCTTATTCGCCCAGCGACTTGGAGCAATTGGTGCGCGCACACCTTTTGCCAGTATCTCCAGGACGCCCAGGATAAGCTGCGCAGGGCCACGTGCGACTCCGGCATGTCCGTCGACGCGCTACGACGAGGGGAATCGTCTGAGCCCGTCCCGCGCGCCCGTTGGCAACGCAGGTGTTTCGCTGTGCTCCACGCTCCTAGCCCCTCCTGCGTTTCTCTTCCTCTCTCCCGCTCTCTTTCTCGTTTTTCTCTCCCCAGTGTCCTCCCTGGCCACCGTCTCGAATGGGCGAAACGTGCCCTGATAGGCATTTCGTGGCTGGTGCCCCCCCGGGTCTGGGCAGCCGTTTGCAGAGCGCTCCAGAATGGCTGGGTCACTGGCCGCCGCATGCAGCGGTGCACTGCTTGTCCCTTCGGCTGCGGGGGCGGTGAGGACAGCATTCAGCACTACGCGCACTGCACGCGCGTTGCGCGTTTTTGCCGCTCTCGTCTCGGATTGCAGCAGCCTGCCCCTTCGGACCGCCTGTCTTCCCTCCTCCTGTTGTCTCCTCGTTTCTGCGAGGCCACGGCGAACATGCATGCGCGGCGGGCCTTGGCATTGTGCGGCGCGACACGGGCGCACGCCCGATGCCGCCGCCTCCTTGGGCCAATTTGCCAAAGAAGCGTGCGCAGTGCATCCTGGTCTGGCAGCCGCTGCTGCGGCATCCCGGGCCGTAGTTCCTCCTTCCTCGTCGCTTCCCTCTTGTCTCTGTGTCTCTTCTCTCTCTGTCGTCTCATCGTTTTTTTTTTTTTTTTTTTTTTTTGTTTTTTCTATATTGTATCTTTGCGCATTTGTGCATGGCCGCCGGTTGGTAATGCGGTACTGTCTGCGTCCTTGTGTGGAGTTCCCATGAGGCCGGCCATGCGGTTTGTTTTTGTTTTTGGTGATGCAAGCAGCTCCTGTCGCACCCATTTTTCGGTGTCGGCGGAAACCGTGACAGGCGAGGTTGTGCCAGACATCTCGTTCAGCTTTCGGCGTGGGAGTGTAGAGTAACGCACATTTGCCGCCGCTGCTGTGCGCTCGAGCCCCGAGTCCATTCATGTTTTTTTTTGTCCACAACCTCCGAGAGGTACTCCGTGACAAAAGCATCTTTGTAAAGCTGTTCGTTGTCGGTGTACAGTGTGTCGTTGCTTCATTCTACCAAAAAAGAGTTAAGTACAGCCTGTGCCGGCGCTGCCCCCCCCCCGGCGCTCCCCCCGCCGTTGCCTGCAGCGCCGAATGGCCCAGCTTGCTCTCTCCCCGTCGCGCCGGCGTTCCTCCTCCTTCGGGGCATTGCGGCCCCAATTTGCATGCAGTGTGTCCCCTGCTGCATATCCGCCAGAGCAGTCGACCTCTGCCCAGCCTCCGACTCAAAATGTGTGTGTGTGTGTGTGCGTGTGTGGGTGTGCGTGCGTGCGTGCGCGCGTGCGTATGTGTGAGTGTGTGTGTGTGATTGCGCATGCGTGCGTGCGCGCATGTGTGTGTGTGTGTGCTTGAATGTGTCTGTGTGTGTGTGTGTGTGTGTGTCTGTGTGTGTCTGTTTGTGTGTGTGTGTGTGCGTGCGTGCGTGCGTGCGTGCGTGCGTGCGTGCGTGCGTGCGTGTTTGCGTGCGTGCGTGTGTGTGTGTGTATGTATGTGTGCGTGCGCTCGTGCGTGTGTGTGTGTGTGTGAATGTGTGTGTTTCCAACCCGCGGCCCCAAAGCTCCCGACGCCTTCCCCAGGGCAGCTCCTCGCCCCAGGTCCACGCTGTGTGGTCCCAGGGCCCGGCACTGGGCCCCAGAGGCGCAAATCGACAAAAAGCCGGTTGAAAAATCAGATCGTCAGAGATCTGGGCCCCAAGGGGGGAGGGGCCCAGAGGGGGGGGCCTTCAGGTGCGCATGGGCGAGCGCGAGCACGGCGCCAAGGGCCTCTGCCAGGAGCGGGCCCTCGTGTCGGTGGGCCCCCCGCCGCCTCCCCGCCGCCCAGCGGTCGCTCGCCTCCGCCTTCTGCCTGGCGGCCCAGTCTCAGGGGCAACGTCAGGGGGGACGGTCTCAGGGGCGGGGGGTCGAAAGTTCCCGGCAGTTCTCCCGAAGCTTTCGAGGCCCAGGGTGGTTTCCAGCAGCTGTGCCTCGTCGAGAGCGCTCCTCGGGCGCCAGAGTCGTCCAGGACGGCCGCTGGAGAGCCGACTCATGATCCGACAGCCAAGGGGCAACCTCAGTCAGGAGGGAAAGAAACACGCAGACACAATTAATCGTCGATTCCCCAGAAAATATGGGAAAATATGGGAAGTGGGGGGGAAGACAGAAACCCAGAACACATAGGAAAATTATTTCTGTGTATTTATTTGTGTGTCCCAGGGCCCCTTCAAAGGGGCAACCTTAGGTGGGGCATGCCCACGGGGGGACGCCTCGACCCCCACTCGCCCAGGCATTGCCGATCGGGGCCCGGCAGCACACCCCGCCCCAGCAGCGTGCAGTTTTGCTGTCGGGGGACTACCGCTGATCTGTCGAAGATGCATCGCCAACTCCAGGCCGATGTTTTTCCCCGCTGAGCCCGTCGCCCGCGATCGTCCCCCCTCACGGACATCCACTCGCCGTGCAGACAAACTTGGACGGCATGTGTTCAGCCAGTTTCGGCCTCTGGGGGCCCTCACCGGGTTCCGTGGCCGTGAGGAAACGACTTGGGATGAAAAAGCCAGCCTTGGGTAAGGAATCTATGCTGTTCGAGAGCCACGTTGCCCAGCATCTTCAGACCCGTCCCCGTCCCCAAGCGGCCATGGTTCCTCAGCGCCACCAGCCTACCCCGTCGAGGCGTTGACGGATGCCGCGGACCCCGACGGCGGCTGCATGCATCCCAGGGGGTGAGGTCGGACAGCGGAGCCAACGGTTTCTCAGTGGGGATGGGGATCGGTGCAAGCCGCGCTGCGAATCATCACGACGTCGCACGTCTCGGCCCGCTGTCCTCCCTGCGCCTGTCAGTTCCTGCCGTGCCTCGTCGGTCTGGCGGCCGCTGCGGAAGCTGGACGGGCAATGCTGGGGCCCGTGGCCCTGGAGGAAGAGATTGAAGGGGGAGGGTGGGGGGAGGAGGAGGAATATCAGGAGGAGGGAAAGGATGAGGATGGGGGGGGAGGAGGAGGAATATTAGAAGGAGGAAGAGGCTGAGCAGGAGGCGGAGGCATGCAGGTGAGGAAGAGGGTGACGATGAGGGACGGCTGCTCCAGCTCCGACTTCTCTCGCCCTCCTCCTCTCTCACCTCTTTGCCGTCGTCGTCGTCGTCGTCGTCGTCGTCGTCGTCGTCGTCGTCGTCGTCGTCTTGCTCCCTTTCCTCCCATGTTTTGCGGAGTGTCCTTAGATTTACCGCTCTCGTCGTTCCCTTTCCCTCCCTCCCCCTCTTACTCTACCTCGCTCTCTCCGTCTGCCTCGTCCTCTCTCTCTCTCTTGCTCTCTCTCTCTCTCTTGCTCTCTCTCTCTCTCTGTCTCTTGTTCTCTTTCTCCTTTTTGTTTCTTTCTATGTTCCTCCTCCTCCTTCTCCTCCTTTCCTCCCTTTCCTCCTCCTCCTCCTCCTCCTTCTCCCTTTTTCTCTTCTCCCTGTTCCTCCTCTGATTCCCTCTCCTCTCCGCCTCTCTCCTCCTCCCGCTTCTCCTCCGCACCCCTCCACTCGGTGGCACCTGCGCTGTCGGCATCGGTGTCCCTGGTCGGACGCTGCCATCGCTCGCCTGACTTTCCTCCTCCCCCTCCTCCTCTGTTTCTGCCCCTCCTTGCTGCTCCTCAGCCTCCTCCTCCTCCTCTGTTTCTGCCCCTCCTCCTCCTCCTCCTCCTCTGTTTCTGCCCCTCCTCCTCCTCCTCCTCCTCCTCTGTTTCTGCCATCGTTCGCCTGATTTTCCTCCTCCTCCTCCTCCTCTGTGTCTGCCCCTCCTTGCTGCTCCTCAGCCCCCTCCTCCTTCGCGGCAGCTGGCCGCGTAGGTGTGTAGCTCCGCGCCGCCCCCTCCCCTCCGCCGCCCAGGGCTTCGAGGCCGCGAACTCCCTCGCCCGGCGCGGCGTGCTCGGCACGAGCAGCCGCAAGGAGCGCGAGGCCACTCGGCCGGCCAGGGACGGCAAGAGACCCCTTCTGCCACCCTCTCGCCGCCTTACCCCCAGTATCGTTCCCCCTATCTCTCTCTCTCGCTCTCTCTCTCTCTCTTTCTCCTCCGTCTTTTCTGTTGATTGCATATCTCTCTCTCCTCCTTCCTCTGTTTCTTTCTTTCTTTCTTTCTTTCTTTCTTTCTCTCTCTCTCTCTCTCTCTCTCTCTATATATATATATGTATCCCTGTCTCAGTGTGTGTGTGTGTCCCTCTCTCTATCCAGTCTCCGCGCAAGTGCTCCTCGTAGGACTGGGCGCAGGCTGCTGGTGCCCCAGCGATCCTTGCCTCGGCGAGACTGGACGGTCTCAGTCAGGGCCCACCAACGGGGCAACGCACCCCTTCGCCGAGACCCCCGACGTTCGGACTTTTTCACAGCGTCGACCCCCAGTGGTCTGGACCCCTTCCCCTACGGGGCGTGAAAACGACCACAGCCACTGCGTTTCTTTTGTTGCCGCCTTCCAGCCAGCAGAAACAAAGCAGTGGTCGTGGTCATTTTCGTCAAGCTTGGCACCAGGGAAATGACCACAACCACTGCTTCTTTTTCTGCCGGCTGGAAGGTGGCGCAAACAAGAAGCAGTGGCTGTGGTCATTTTCCCGTCCCGCACCCGGGATCGGTTTCTCGCCCCGAGTCGTTTTTGGACGGTCCCGAGGCCTGGTGAGGGCCCCCGGAGGCCGAAGACAGAGAACGACCTCCCGTTGCGTTTTTTTCGCAGCGCCGGGGGGGGGTCTGGGCACTTCTCGCGCCCGCGGGCGCCCTCTGTAACGGCAGGGCGCCGCCCCCATCGGTGCCCTTGTGCGAGGCCTCCAAGACCACTCAACGAGTCTAAGAGCTGGGTCGCAGCGGTGCTCCCGTGGCCGCCCGCCAAGACACGCAGGAGTTGATCGTGCCACCTCGGCGTTGGAAGTGCCCCTGGCGCAAGGTGCCCCCAGGATTTCCAAGGAGCCCCCCACGACCTCCAGAGCACCCCTCGCGAGGCCCGGAGGACCCTAGGGGCTCCAAAATGGAGCGACAGGATTTCCAAGGAGCCCCCCACGACCTCCAGAGCACCCCTCGCGAGGCCCAGAGGACCCCATGGGGCTCCAAAGTGGCGCGAAAAGCTGGGGGCACCTTGGGCCAGGGGGCACCTCCAGCAGCCCCCGAGGCCAGCCCCCTGCTGCCCCCCCTACCTCCTCCTCCTCCTCCTCCTCCTCCTCCTCCTCCTCCTCCTCCTCCTCCTCCTCCGCTGTGGCCTCCGACGCTGCTGCGGCAAGCGCAGAACCAGCTGGACGCTGGCCCACCATCGAAGCAGAGGTCAGACCGGCCGCGACGACGAGGCCGAGCGCCCAGCCCGCCGCCCCGAGTCCAGCTGGCGAGCCGCGACTCCGGCAGTGGTTTGGTCCCCGCCGTGGTCCAGCCGACGCGCTCCCCCGGAGGTGACGCTCTACACAGCAGCCTCTCCATCTCCTCCTGCCTCCCTCCGCGGCCACGTGGAGGGAGGGGGAGCGGCTGGCTCTGCGCCCAACACCGCAGGCGAAGCCTGCCACTGGCTCCTGCGGCCTCGGGCCCAACCTACTTTAGCCTTGATCACGTGCCGGGCCCTTGAAGACACTCGTCCGACACTGTTTCGACACTCTTTCGATACTTTTCCGGGTGCTCGAAATTATTCCTGGGATGTGGTCCTCAAGTACGATGGGAGCAACACAACCCGGGGACCGAGATGTCCATCCCCGTGATGCGGCGCAGCGCTGCGGCTGCAGAGTCCCAGGCTGCGCGCACGGACTGCGCCGGCTGCCAAAGTCGGCACGAGGGAGGCCGCGTGCCGCCAGAACCGCGCACAAGTCACGGGCCGGACGAAAGGGGGGGATTGGGAAAGAGGGGCTTACGAAATCTGCTGCATGCAGCTGGTTTCGGCCCCACCGAGGGGCCCATTCCTCGATACGTAGCCGCCTCGAGTGCCGGGGGAGGCGCCAGGAAAATCAGCTGCGTGAGCTGAGTCTCACCCCCCCCCTTTGCTATCCCCACCTTTCGCACTGCACGTAAGATCGGCCACGCGCAGAGGGGGGCAGGGGGAGGGGGGAAGGCTTCTTAGAAGCACCCCTGCTTCTTAGAAGGCGCGGTCCTTATGTGAAGATGCAAGGCCGCCGCCTTCTAAGAAGCAGCCTCCTTCTAAGAAGCCTTCCCCCCTCCCCCCACCCCCTTCTGCGTGCCGCCAGTAAGAGTGACCTTTCCCCGGAGTGACCTTCGGTGCGGGCACACCGGGGTCCCCGTATGACGGCTCGCGGTGCGGCAGCAGCGGCCTGCGCGCTCGGGTTTGTGGCCCCCCCGCGCCCCCCCCCGAAAGGCTGCGCACCGAAGGGCACTCTTACCCCGGGTCACTCTGGCGTGTGGCCTGAAGCGATCCAGGAGTGGTTCTCCGAACACGTGCTGGGCGGTGCCCCAGTCAGCGGGTCACTCTTGCCCCAGATTTCGTAACAAAAGGGAGGGGGTCTGGACCCTCCAAGACAAGCCATTTCAGACCTCCCCCGTGGGAGAACCCTCCAAAACATCGTCCCCAGACCCCCCAGGCCCTCCAAGATAGCCTGGAAGAGACCCCCCCCCCGGAATGAGACCCCCCTCCCTTTATTACGAAATCTGGAGTACCCAGGGTCACTCTGGCGTGTGGCCCGAAGCGATCCAGGAGTGGTTCTCCGAACACGTGCTGGGCGGTGCCCCAGTCAGCGGGGTTCGCAAAGAACCGCGTGGGGGTGAGAGCACTGCCCAGCAGGCAGCCCGCGAGTGCCCACGACCAAGTCCAACAGCCGAGCTGAGGCCGAGCTGGACGAGGCTCTCCCGGATCTGCTCACGGTAGTCACCCAAAACCACTTCGCTAGCGTGACGATCCGTGAGCAACCCATCCAGCTCGGCCGCCACGGCGGCTCCAAAAGCAGACGGGAACTCACGGCCGTCTTCTGCGATTTAGCATCTCATGTCATTGACGTCCTCGCCGTCTCGGGCACTGGCGGGATCATCTACGACCTCGGCCACCGAGGCCCCTCCGAACTCACCGATTCGGTCACCTTCCCTTATGTGGCCGTATGATGCGAGCCCGACGCCGCGATGGAGGCAGCGCTGGCCACTTGGACCAAACGTAGGGCCCGTGGCGTCGCCACTGGCGGCCGAGCCGTGGGAGTTCGCGCCCTGCGAGCGAGCGCGGCCGCCGAGACCGTCGCCATCGAGCCCTGCGGCAGCGAGGCCGCCCTGGCCACCGCCCAGTGCCGCATCGCGGGCCTCGAGCCCAGTGCGCCACCAGCGGAGAGGTCGCCATCGTCCTGGCTGCGTTCCACTGGCCATCTGAGGCCTATCGCGCAGCCATGGGGCAAACCGACCTCGCGCCATTTCGCTCTCGTCCGCGCGCCCGCCGCGCCGCCCAGCGCTGCCGCCGAGGTCGCGGGGCCCCGGGCGAAGCGCCCGCGCGGCGCGCTCTCCGAGCTCCTCGCCGGCGGCGCCGCCGCGCCGCCTCGGCAGCCTCTCTGGGGGGCCTCTCGCTGGCGCGCTCCATCGAGATCCGCCCCGACGAGTCGGAGGCCGGAGCCGAGGACCAAGTCGCCGGCGGGCCGCGCGCAAGGCTCGCACCGAGCTCCCGCCATAGTCAGGAGGGAAAGAAACACACAGGCACAATGAATCGTCGATCCCCCAGAAAATGTGGGGAACTATGGGAAGTGCGGGGGAAGACAGAAACCCCAAAAATATGGGAAAATATGGGGGATCTTTTTATTTGTGTGTATTTATTTGTGTGTCCCAGGGCCCCTTCACAGAGGCAGTGGCCGCCACGGCCGAGATCACCGGAAGGGAGCCGTCGGCAGGCCCGCCCTGCGCGCCGCATTTTTCGGGCCCCGCGGCGGCTCCTCAGCAGCTGTGCTGGCGAGGCCGGGGAGGAGGAGGAGGAGGAGGAGGAGGAGGAGGAGGAGGAGGAGGAGGAGGAGGAGGAGGAGGAGGAGGAGGAGGAGGAGGAGGAGGAGGAGGGAGGAGGAGGAGGAGAGGAGGAGGAGGAGGAGGAGAGGAGGAGGAGGAGGAGGAGGAGGAGGAGGAGGAGGAGGAGGAGGAGGAGGAGCGAGGAGCGGAGCGAGGAGCGAGGAGGGGGAGGAGGAGGAGGAGGAGGAGGAGGAGGAGGAGGAGGAGGAGGAGGAGGAGGAGCCCCGCAGAGTCCCCCGTGGTGCGCCGCTGCGCAGCCTTGCCCTCTTCTTCGAGGGGGAGGAGGGAGGACGGAGGCCCGAGGCCCTCGGACGCTGGAGCTTCCTGGTCCCAGGCCGTGACCCCCCTAGCAGCTCCCCGACGCGGCTGGCGGTTCGTGCCGAGCCCGCACCACCCCCCTCTCTTGAGAGAGACGATTCGAAGAGGAAGAAGCGCCATAAACAGAAACGTTTGTGAGGAGGGGGAAAAAAGCCAGACGCAATGAATCATCGATCCCCCAGAAAACATGGGAAAATATGGGAAGCGGGGGGGAAGACAAAAACCCAGAAAATATAGGAAAGCATGGGGAATCCTTTTATTTGTGTGTGTATTGATTTGTGTGTCCCAGGGCCCCTTCAGCTTGGCGCCCCGTTGCGTCGGACAGCGCCTCCACGAGGGCCGCGGGCCCGCGCGCCACCGCCTCGTCGCCCGCCTCGCCAGGCTGCCGCCCGCGCCCGCCGTGGACCGCCCGCGAGTCCCGGGGCCCCCGCCGGGGGGCAAGGGGTAAGTCGGGCCTGTCCCTCCGCAGGAGGAATATCCCAAAATAGTCAGAAAATAGTCCGGGGACGGTTTTTTGAAGATTCTTGATCATGTTTGAGCATTTGTTGGCGATTTTCTATGTTTCGCCCAAAATCCCCTTGTAGGGGGACACGCCCGACGTCAGACAAGGGGCGATTGTCCCACGCCCCGGCCCCGCCTGTGGTTTGACGTGGCACTCCGACGACCGCCTCGGATTACCAGCATGAGATGGGGACCCCATG